CTCCCCTCCGCCGACCCTACCCGCGGCTGCCCAGAGAGACAATACAGCCACCAGCCGGAGGCACCTCCAGGGAACGGGACCTTCCCTTTTTGGGACCCTACAGCTGACTAAGGGGAACTCAGACTGTGAGCTCCCTACCCGCCAGCCCTCCCAGGTGCTGCTGGCACGGTGTTCCCAGGAGAACGGTGCCGACTCAGAGGCTGAGAGACACAGACACAGCTTGGGCTCCCTGTGGGTGAATTGGGAACGGAACTCCTCTCCCTGGTGGGGATACAGTTTGAACTCTGGGACCGAGAGGTCGGACCTGCAGACCAGATCCCGTGCACCGAGGTCTAGCATTGCCTGGGCACAGAAGGGATATTTGTGAACAGCCTGACTGAGGTGTGTGTGCCTCCAGGGGCAGATCAGCGTCCTAGAGGGCAACCTTCCCCCCAAAGGGAGGCCTTGCACCAAGCCCAGGCAGCGTTTCTGCGCAGGGAACCTCCCCGCCGGCATCACAGTCCAGGGAGGCCTGGTGGCATGTGGTCTGGCCTGCTGGCAGAGGCCCAGGAGTAGCTGCGGAGTTGGGGAGGGTGGAAAGAAGTGAGGCCCGCTCCAGACTGCGGGTCTCAGACAGCCCCACGCACACACACAGACTTTCTGGCTGAGCTGGACCATTCCATCCCCGCCCTGACAGCTTTTCCTGGAAGCAGAGAACAGAACTTTGACCCCTGCTAACGGCATTGGTGGTGGCTGAGGGCAGGCTTTCCCAACCCAGCTCCGCCCAGAACAACAGCTGATAACAGGACACAAAAACAACAGCATAGCCTGTTCCTCAAAGCAAGCGCCACCTACTGACAGGGATGGTATCCTGCACAGCCTTTTCACGGCACCCACTGACTCATTATACAGGGAGTGGTCGAATATCACCCACAGACACCACCTAACGGCTCGGAAACTAAACAAGGTGTGAGAATACCCAAACAAAAACCTAAAGGAAAGAAACAACAACTGATTGACATGGGAAGAAATCAGCGAAGGAACTCAGGAAATATGAAGAACCAAATGGAAAACACCCCCCTAAAGAGGAGCACCAGCCCCCTAGAAACAGACACCAACCCAAATCAGGCAACCAAAATGAAAGAGGAGGAATTTCGTAGGTGGATCATAAGAACACTCACCGAGCTGCAACAACAACTCAATAACCAACACAAAGAAACCACAAAAGGCCTCCAGGACCTAGAACAAAAGTTCACTAAAGAAAGAGACACAATGAAGAAAAGTTTAACCGAACTCCTGGAAATGAAGAATCAATTCAGGGAAGTACAAAATACAGTGGAAAGTCTCAAGAACAGGGTACATCAAACAGAAGAAAGAATCTCAGAGATTGAAGATAACGCCCTCCAACTAAATAAAACCATCACAGAGATAGAGCAGAGAAACAAAAAAAAGAGCAAAGCCTACAAGAGATGTGGGATTATGTGAAGAAACCTAATGTGAGGGTCATAGGGTTACCAGAAGGGGAAGAGGACAACACCCAAGGGTTGGACAAGCTATTTGAAGATATAATAGAGGAAAATTTCCCAGGCCTTACTCAAAATCTCGATATACAAGTTCAAGAAGCTCAGAGGACCCCTGGGAGATTCAATGCAAATAGGAATACGTCACGACATGCAGTCATCAGACTGACAAAAATATCAACTACAGAGGCCCTTCTAAGAGCTGTAAGATGAAAGAAGCAAGTGACGTACAAGGGAAAGCCAATTCGTATAACACCAAACCTCTCTAATGAGACTTTACAAGCAAGGAGAGGCTGGGGCCCCATTCTCACTCTTCTGAAACAAAACAGTGCTCAGCCTAGAATCTTATTCCCTGCAAAACTAAGCTTCATATATGAAGGAGAAATAAAGACATTCTCAGACAAGCAAAGGCTCAGAGAATTCACCAAGACAAGACCAGCCCTACAAGAAGTACTCAAAACAGTGTTATGCACAGAACACCATGATAAAAACTCACGAATATAAAACAACAAAACCCAAGATTAAAGCCAGATAATACAATGGCTCAACAGAGAAATCAAAGCAACAACATCCAACCCAACAGAATGAACAGTAATCTACCTTACCTGTCAGTTCTCTCAATAAATGTGTATGGCTTAAACTCTCCACTCAAGAGACATAGGCTGGCTGAATGGATAAGAAAATACAGGCCAAGTATATGCTGTCTTCTGGAAATACATCTAACCTGCAAGGATGCATTATATACTAAAAAAAAAGGGTGGAGATCAGTATTCCAGGCAAGTGGAAGGCAAAAGAAGGCTGGTGTGGCAGTTTTAATTTCAGACGATTTAGTTTTTAAACCAACAAAAGTAGTGAAAGACAAAGAGGGTCATTATATAATGGTGAAGGGCACACTTCAACAAGAAGAAATAACAATTTTAAATATATATGCACCCAACTTAGGTGCACCCAGTTTCATAAAGCAAACCTTACTGGATTTATGCAAATAGATTAATAGCAACTCCATAATCACCGGAGAGTTCAACACCCCACTGACGGCACAAGACAGAACTCCAAACAGAAAATTAATAAAGAAATAATGGACTTAAACAAAACTTTGGAACAACTGGGTCTGACTGACATCTACAGGACATTCTACCCAAAATCTATTGAATATACGTTCTTCTCATCAGCTCACGGGACATTCTCTAAGACTGACTGTATCCTAGGACGCAAAGTAAATCTCAAGAAATTTAAAAAACTAGAAATCATACCATGTACCTTCTCAGATCACAGTGGAATAAAAGTAGAAATCAACCCTAACAGAAACTCATATTTCTACACAAAAACGTGGAAATCAAACAACCTCCTACTAAATGATTACTAATAAATGAAGAAATCAAGATGAAATAAAAAAATTCTATACTCCTACACTGCTGGTGGACTGCAAATTAGTTCAACCTCTGTGGAAAGCAATATGAGATACCTTAAACGATACAAGTGAATCTACCATTTGATCCAGCAATCCTATTGCTGGGTATCTACCCAAAAGATCCAATGACAGTCTACAAAAAAGACGCCTGCACTCGAATGTTTATAGCAGCACAATTCATAATCGCAATTCTATGGAAACAGCCCAGGTGCCCATCAATCCAAGAATGGATTAATAAAATGTGGTATATGTATACCATGGAGTACTATCTAGCTCTAAGAAACAAGGTGATATAGCACATCTTATATTTCCTGTTTAGAGCTGGAACCCATACTATTAAGTGAAGTTTCCCAAGAAAGGAAAAACAAGCACCACATATACTCACCAGCAAATTGGTATTAACTGAACAGCAGCTAAGTGGTCACATAGGTACTGCAGTAATAGGGTATTGGGCAGGGGGGAGGGGGGCGAGTATATACATATATAATGAGTGAGATGTGCACCATCTAGGGGATGGTCATGCTGGAGACTCAGACTTGTGGGGGGAGGGGGGGAAATGGGCATTTATTGAAACCTTAAAATCTGTACTCCTATAATATGCCGAAATAAAAAATAAAATTCTTTAAAACATTAGGTATATTTTTTGTGGGAGATGATTTAAACTATCATTTTGAAGAAGTAGCTTGATACCCTACCAAGTAGTAAATTGTAGAGAAACATTTTGAGTAAACCCAAAGGTTGTCACTGCATCTCAGACTTTTTCAATGCTGATTTATACTCAGTGCTCATAATGTGACGGGTTTATAACACGTGAGACTGTAACTTATAGAATCTGGGATATTATCTACTGCTTAAATTTTACTTAAAGCAGTGAAAGTACTAGCTTTTTGACATTAATGTTAATAATAGGTATTTGTCTAACATTTCTTAGTTTACTAGGCCCTTTCATAATTACTGTCCAATTTAATGATTTGATAAAGTCTCACAACTACAGTTACAATGCTCAGGTGTCAAGTATGTTGTGTTAAAAGTAAGAGTCAAGCTTTGGTGATTACTCTTATTAGTTTCTAGTTTATTTTTTGTTCAAATTTCCTTCCTTGGAATTTATTTTAGTCTTTTGTATGAAGTTTAAAACTTTTAGATCTTTATCAAATTAGAGTCAGAGCTGGGCGCAGTGGCTCATACCTGTATTCCTGGTACTTTTGGAGGCCAAGGTTGGAAGATTGCTTAAGTCCAGGAGTTCAAGACTAGCCTGAGGAAGAGCAAGACTCCATCTCTACAAAAAATGGAAAAATTAGCCCAGCAGGTTGGCCCGCTTATAGTCCCAGCTACTTGGAAGGCTGAGACAGGAGGTTTGCTTGAGTTCAGGAGTTTGAGGTTGCAGTAAGCTATGATGACACCACTGTACTCTAGCCTGGGCAACAGAGTAAGAACCCATCTCAAAAAATTTTAAAAAACTAAAAAAAGAAAAGAAATTAGAGTCAGTGTTGTGTGAATTTTAGGCAACAACATATATTCCTAGTGCTTAGAAAATGCTAGTTCTTATCACCTCACTACTCCATTCTGTCTCTTTTTGTCTCACTAAGTGGCAAAGTAGTTGTAGTGAGTTGGAAAATCCCAACATTTAAGCCATTCTCCGGTATCTGCAGGAAATCTGAAGTCTAGTCATTCCTTTTGTATGTTGAAACAGTAAAGCAGAAGCGGCTCCTGCCAGGTGTGAAGGTATAATACATCAAGACACATTTTCATTCCTTCACCTTTTGTCTTTAAGTGTAATGATAAAATGTGTATCTTACATTTTTCTTTTAATTCAGGGAACAAATTTGTTGAGCTATATTATCTGTAAAAATATTTATTGTAAAAATAAAAATAATGTCTTTAACATTAATCAGGAAACAGCAATAGTTATTTTATTTTGCCAGTCAAGAATAGAAACTACTGACATAAAAATAAAGTAAACATTAAAACTTTGATTAGGTCTAAAGGTCAGAAAATGCTGCCAAGACAACTCACTAGATATCTCTATGGATAGTTTCTTTACTGTCTTTGTATGTTAGCTCTGAATTTTTCTTGTGTTTTCCCCTCCACAGGAGAGCCTGACAAGGAGCTGAACCCTAAGAAGAAGATCTGGGAGCAGATCCAGCCTGACCTTCGCACTGACAACCAGTGTGTGGCCACCTACAGAGGAGCTGCCTTCGAGGTCAAAGGGAAGGGGGTGTGTCGGGCTCAGACCATGGCCAACAGCGGAATCAAGTAAAATAAAACGCGTTTGTTACTGCAGTACATTGGAGAAAACTTCAATAATAATAAAAAGGATTATATTTGTCACTTGTACCTGAAATATGACTGGCTCATTTTTGTGTTATTTCTCTTCTAGAGTTATCTAGTCTTTTAGCTGTTATATATTGTTTTCAATTGACTGGGGAAACTGCGTTTTTACCCATGGTTTATGATCATCTATAATGGAGAGAAGACATTGCTTATGTGTTGTGATAATTTATTTTTTAGCAGGGATATTGGTTAGCAGGTTTTTTCTTTATACATTTAGATAACTTGAACTAGATTAGTATGTAGTATTGTATTTGTGGGCACATGATGCATGAAATTTCAAGCACTTGGATTAATATATTGTGAACGTCTGTTATAAATGTACTGTCCTCTTCAAAAATGACAAGTTGCATTTTGTGTTAGTTATTAACTACTCATAATTGTAATAATATTGAAAATGATCAACTACTAATTCTAAGAGCCAGACATAAAATCCAGGGCATACAACATTTGAACATTTTTGCTTTGCTACCAAAGTAACCCTGACTAATAATACTTAAAGTGACTATTTTAAAAAAAGTGAAATTTCCACCTGTGTCTTGAATTTAATAAACACACTGTAAAGTGGTGTCACTGTATGTAGTTACCAATAAATTGATCCTACAAACAGCATTCCATTTTTTTCCTTCTAGCTGTTTTATAAAGATTTTTTGTGTACATAATAAAAGATAATTTATAGGTTATTATCTTTAGGGGGCATTTAAAATTGATATATTTTGCTTTTTCATGTACCATCATACTGTCAATATATTAAATTATAGCCCCAAACTTATATAGTACATCTATATTAATATGTCAGATACCTCTTTTCACTCATTTTACAAGCATTATAGGAACAGTGAGAATTAACTTAGAAATTATGATCCACAAGGTCACAAGCTTTGAGGTGGTTACTGATGATTTAGACTACCAAATAGGGAAGGCAGTCATGGAAGCAGAGGTATAGACACTGTTTGAAAACGTGTGCATAACACAGAAAACATTCTAGCACTGTGGCTGTCTAAATCCTCTAATAAGGAGAGACCAAAAAAAAAAAAAAGAAAGAAAGAAAACCTTAACAACTGTAAAACAATATTGCATGTTATAAAAAGTATAATTAAAGTTCATTTATTTAAATCCATGGAACTCTGGTAGGCCAGGATATAGTACCATAGTATATGTTATAAGTTCATTTTGAAAAACTGAATATGAACAGAACATTAACATCTGTTGATAACACAAAATCAGTTTTAAAAGTTATTTTGTTCTCAAAATATATTATTCTTTTGGGAATAAAGACTTGCTGGCAGAGTCTGTTTTGAGTCTTTTGAAATAGTCCCATATAGTCATTTTTCCCAACTAAATATTGAAATAGTCTAGCCCAGATCAAATTATCTAAAGTTTTGATAGTGAAGCATAGATTAATGATTAAACTATATGTAGGACCTAGAAATAATAAAAACCATTTGTTCTTTTGTTAAAGTCTATGACACAGGATTGTCAGTAGCTTGTTTGTGGCTGAAATTTATGAATTTTCATCACAAAATTATGAAATTTATGGAGTATGTACCTGGCAAAAGTTTCACATCTCTATCTCAAGCACCATATTATATCTTGCCAATTTTACCAAATGGCTGCACTTCCCTCCATAATTCCCCCAGATCTTTAGCACATAAAAATCCACGCTAAACTGTTAAAGAGAGGAGGAAGTTGGGAGTTAGCGAGCGATTTTTCGAGTTGCATAAAAGCATCATTCAAGTTATCAATTCAGCCCCTATTCAGTCTTTGTTTTCACACACACACAAAAAAACCCACTTAATTCTGTTTTATTTGTATTGCTGGGATGGGAGAACTCTTACAGAATTAATGACAAAATGGCATTGTTTGTTGCAAATTTAGCCAGAAAAAAAGCTGAGCCTCTCCCAAAATACTTTCCTCGTGCAAGATTGGTCCACTATCTTATGGTTAAGTGTTTAGAGAACTAGCTTTTCTTATATTTAAAAATTCCATGTGTAGCATTTTTTTGAGATGAATCCTTTTTGGGACATACTGATTTTATTATAAAGTCAGAAATTTTTTTTCTTGGTCTTGCTTCTACCAGGAACATTAAGTGCCCCAAACAGATAATTTGTTGTTGCCTTTATAAAAATATGTCAATTCCTGTTTAGAATTTTTATACTATCTTTAGTCACTCACAGAGGTTTAATAAGAAGCATGTCAGCAAGGTAGCGGGTGTGGATAAGGGAAGGCTAGTAGCTAACAAGGGGCCTCGTAGGGCGATCTTAGTGAATTTAGGTGTCAGAGTCCGGGCATGAGCTTTGCAGGTTCAAAACCCTGCATTTGTAGATGACTCTCAGAGATGCTAGATCTGTAGAGCTTAGTAGTGTTGTTGAAGTCTGATGGCCTAATTTTGATTCCAGGCGCTGCAACTTCAATGCCTGTGTGACCTTGGACAGCTGTTTAATCTCTGTACCTTAACTTCCCCCCTCTGTAAAATGAGAATAACAACAGTATCTACAGAGTTGTGAATATTCTATGAGTAAGTACACTTAGTGTACTTAAAACAGCACCTAGCATATAATAGGTGTATGCTATGTTGATATCAGTTTATGATAGGGGATGTTTCTTTCTGGAAACTAGTATTTCTGTCCCCATTCGTGATATCACATTTGTTTAGAAGTTGAATTCCTGTTTGGAAGATTACTTGTGTATCAAATGAGGACTCTGTCTCTCAATAATGTCTTCCCTCATTGGAGATGTTTGTTACTGAAACTTTCCTTACCCTCCCTCCACTCCCACTGAAACCCATTTTTTAGACTTTTAGATGCTGCTCCCCCACCCCACCCCCGTTCATTTGATGCTCTGTCACTGGTTTGATATCATTCATAATGTTTCAAATAGTTTTGTAATTCTCTTAGACTAGGAACACAATGTGTTTCTAACTATTGTGTGTTGATTTGCTTGGCTTAATATAAGCAATCATATTTTCAAATTCTTAATGGGTGAGGGGGCACCTCACCATTTCTTATAACTGGTGCTGAAGGGGCATGAGTATACCTCCTCTAATTTTCAGGGAAATGATGTGTTGTACCTTTTAAAATATAAAAGTATCACAATTATACATTGTGTACTTTATCTACATGAATGGTGACACAAGTTCTGGTACTAGGTGCAATGCAAAATTACATTATCACTAAGATGCAAAATAAAAGAACTAGGAGACCGGGCACATTGGCTCACGCCTGTAACCCTAACACTTTGAGAGGCCAAGGAAGGAGGATTGCTTGAGGCCAAGAGTTAAAGACCAGCCTGAGCAAGACCCCGTCTCTAGAAAAAAAAATTAGCGGGGCATGGTGACTCATGCCTGTAGTCCCAGCTACTTGGGAGGCTGAGGCAGGAGGATCTCTTGAGCCCAGGAGTTTGAGGTTGCTGTGAGCTATGATGCCACTGCACTCTAGCTTGGGTGGCAGAGCAAGACCATGTCTCAAAAAAAAAAAGAACTAGGGGAGACAAGTTAGTGTAACACAACTGAATAATACGGCAAACTGTTTCTTGTGGAGAGAGCTCTACCCTCCAAAATTTTAGTTAAGGAATAGCCATGCTTTCTCTAACAAATGTAAGGGGGATATAACATCTGTCTACTGCCATCAATTTTGTGACAGAATTATTAAGATAGCTAATGCTTTATAACTTACAAAGTTTTCACATGTCACGTGTATTTCTTAACTACTTACGAATATCAGTCATTTTAAGAATCAATAGAAAAGTTAAATGCCTGCACTAAGCTGAAACCTAGATCTTCTTTCAACTTTTACTAATCCAGTGCTCTTCATTAGATTATACTTTCTTCCACATTAGTTAAATCGTCATGTGGTTTCTTTTGTATGAATAAAAAGTTTAACTTTTATGTAAACTGTAGGGAAAGATAGTAACAAATGCAAAAAAACACCCCTAAACTCTAGTGTTCATGTAAGATTGGGGGGCTTCTTTAGTATAATACTTAAGAGATTCTAAGGGAAGAGATGTGGTTATTACACTACTCTTTTGTAGTGGTTATGAAGAGGATTTATCAATTTATCCATTTTTTAAAATTTTATTTTTATTTTTATTTGTTTGCTATGGAATTTCATAGGAAGAACTCAACTTGGCAAAACCAAGCTCCTACTCTGCTGCTGCTAGTGGCAGTTGCCTTTTTAAAGAGTAACGATTCCTTGATTCTTTGAGTAGCGCACTGTTGTTGAGGGCACTGGCCCTATACTGACAGTCTGTCCCAAAAACCACCACATGAAAGCAGTTACTAAACTCCAGGTAGATAGTTGGATAGATAGATCGATAGGTAGATAATTGAAAACAAAAACAACTGTTTATAGGTATACTATTTGGATGATAACCCCAAAACTTGAACAATGATGAAAAATAGGATAGTTGCTCTTGGCTAATACATCTCTGTACAAAACTGAAACTTCAGGTGCCAACTTGTTGGAGTAAGAAAGAGTGACTTACACATTCTTGTTTATTGTACTTTTTATAGTTATGGTTTTTCCTCTGCATAAATCTTGGCAGAGATAATTCATAGGAGCATAACTCCAAAAAAATATTTGGAGGAAGGACTCAGAACAATGAAATAATTATTGGTTTTGAAAGTGAGCCATCTGGAATTTCAGAGTGTGAATTAATTATTGTATATTGTATTTTTTCACCCTTATGTATTCTCTTACTTGTTTTTTTTTTCCTTCCTTCCTAACTTCCACCCCCCCTCCTAACACACACTATTCTCAATTCTCTAGATTTTTAAGTAAAAAAATATGTGTAAGTGCTATTTTATGTCTTCATCAACATAATTTCCTATCTGGCAGGCTATTCTCCTTAGCAACAGGCGCAGAAATAAGCCTTGGACTCAGTAATTGCAAGAAGAAAGAATAATCCTTTTTAATGAAGGGTCAACTCTTCTTGTCTTTCCCATTGCGACATAATGCCTACAGAACTGTCAAAATAGCAATTGTTGATATCTGTTCATTTCCTCAATGGCATTCATGTGGTGAGCTTTTATATCAAGGCTGTTCTGACAAAGTTTTACATTTGTTTTTGTATATTGACTCATTAGAATATTATACATCCCAGTAGAGAAATGCTCTCAATATATACACGCTCTTAAGTTTGCAGCCCTATGAATACATATTTGGCTGATATGTGTTCATTTAAAACCCATTCAAATTTTCACACCTGGGGAATTTGGAAAGAACAGTGCAGAAGTCATCCAAAATCAACACCACAACTGGATTTATCTTTGAAAAAGATTAATGAAAAATGCAAACTAAAAGTCACTTTCAATACATTTAACAAAAGAGAATGATTTTTTTAAGAAATCTTTTTTCTATAATCTTCAGTTTTCCTATAAAAGGGTAACATTTTCTGTGCAACAGCAATACATTGAAAACAAATACTTCAGATGTTTGTGAAAAGAGACTTATTTTTAAAATAAAGTTTGAACGAGAATCTGGGAAACAGATTTGTCACTTAAAAACATTAGTCTTACGTAACAGAATTGTGAAATGTCTGAAAATTAATACAAAAGAAAATCTAAGCAGATTCTAGGGAAAGAATACAGAGTATAGATAGATAAACAGAACGGAAAAGATAGATAAAAAGACTGAAATGGGTGGGGAACCTGCGGCCTTAAGGCCACATGTGGCCTTCTAGGTCCTTGAGTGCAGCCTTTTGACTGAATCCAAATTTTACAGAACAAATCCTTTTATTAAAAGGGATGCAGCAGAGAAAGATGAAGATTTTATTTCCTCTGGTGCTTAAAAACTGGATAATATTATTCATTCTAAACTTGTATTTAAATATAACTTATATACTAAGCAGTTCATAAATGGCAAGCGTTTGTTGTTGCCTTTCTCACGAAGTGAACACACCTGTGAAACCAGCCTCAAACTCAAGAAACTGAAAAACAGTCTCAGAAGCCACCTCACGTGCATCCTTTTGACTCACTGTGTCCTCCTCAAGGGTAGCCACTCTCTTGACTTACTGCACTTCTATCACCAGAGGAGTTGAGATTATATTGGTTTGACTGGTTTTGGACTTTACACATATGGAATCATAGAGCATGTAGTCTTTAATGTCTGGCTTATATTTCAGCATTATGTTTGTGCAGTTCATCGGCACTGGTAAATGTAGTTGAGTTCGCTCATTCTCATTACTGTATACTATCCTCCTGTGTGAACACACCATAGCATTCTACTATTAAAGGACATTCGGATAGTTTCCAGTTTTTAGCTATTTTGAATAGTACCGCTATGAACATTCTTGCACATACATGCCTCAGTGCACAAATGTACACATGCATGTTGGATATATACTCCTAGGAGTGCAACTGCTATCTTATGGGACTTCTATTGGAAATCTTAAGTGCTTGTTGTTCTTTTTATCTTCCAGTTTTCCAAAGTGGTTATACCAAAACACATGCTCACCAGTGGTGTATAAGAATTATTATCATACATGTCCATGCTCACAAAGGCAGTTTTTGAAACCAGGTTTCTGACTCCAATATCAAATGCTCTTTTTTTTTACCTAAATTTTATTTAAAGGTTAGAACTTGGTAACAATTCTCTTTTACAAATCCCATGATTCTTTCTAAGATTTTCATTCTTTGTTCATTAAATGATTTTTCTTTTTTATGCTGGAAAACATATTTGTGCTGAATAGAATTTAATAGGGTTAACAGTGTGTCAGGGGCCGCACGTAAATATTTATCTTCATTGGATCCAGCCTCTTCTATTTTTTCTGCGTGGGTAAAAAGAATGGCAGTGTAATTCTTCCAAGCATGTCCCAGAAGTTCCTGAAAGAGAGAAGAAGTTAAATGGCTATTTGCCTTGAACTATACTCTGTAAAAATGAGCAAAGGACTTATGATGGCTCAGTATAGACACCCAACCGATCCAGGTGTCGTTATGTCCCTGAAAGCTGATACATGGAATAGGAAGTGATGATGGGACCAAGTGTTGGAAGGAAATAGAGAGAGATGGTGGGATTTCAAAAAAGGTCTTAGTTCTCCACTTTATTTTACTATTATAATTGATGATGTATACATGACCTCGACGGTACATATTATCAGTGCTCCCTATGATATACTTACACTATTCACTAATGATTTATACTTGTCTCTTTGATGGAAACAACATGACTCTCTTAGAACCACTGAATTTCTTTAAGTCAGAGGACCTTGGTTCGGCAAGGGAATTGTCCTATTTGTCTTTTATTTGTAGGAATGTTGTGTTATCATCATCACTAAAAGCATCTCCTAAGGATTTAAAATTACACAATCTGGTTACAATCTATTGATTAATCAGATGGCATGCAATGGAAAAAGCTAAGATCAAAATACATTTGGTGATTTGGAACAACTACAAGATGTTACTGTGTTTCTCATCTTGCTCACTTTACATGTCTAGAATCAAACACAATTTATCAGATGATTTCCTCTCATGTGGTTGATAAATGTTCCCTTACTTAGTAATATGTGGAAGTTGGTTATGTAATAAATTCTTGTTTGATTAGTGAAAATGAGCTGATATGCAGCAGAAGCAACAGCATGTGGCAAACTGTTCACGCAATATGAAAGGCATCTAGAAATAACCATTTAACACTTAATATTTTCAAAGTTATATGAAATCATGATGTGACAGTAAAATTACATTCCCTCCACTCCAAACACTCCCATTACTGAAATATTTCCAAAGCTGCTACGAGTTTATCATAGCAAGAAAAATATAAAATGCCTAGAAATAAATATAACAAGAACTATCTAGGACTTCTACTAATCAGAAGAAAGAACTACCATTTAGCACCAGATATTATGCTAATCACTTCGCAGGCTTTCTCTCTTTTGAAGCTTAATATGATTGTTTGTGGAGATGCTACTATTGTCTCCATTACGGTGTGGGGAAATTGACATACAGAGAGGCTGAATTGCATGTGTTAGTATAAACTCTGGTTTTTAAAAAATCTTGAAAAATTTGAAAGACAGTCTGGGAAATTATTTTCAATGTATTTGACAAATACAGGATTAGTATTTATATGCTGAATAATTGAAAAGAAAGAAGGAAATGAGGAAGAGTGAAACAGAAAAGGAAGAAAGGAAAGAAGGAAGGAAGGAAAGAAGAAAGGAAGAAAGGGAGGAAGGAAGGAAGGAAAGGAGGAAGGAAGAAAGGGAGGAAGGAAAGAAAGAAGAAGAGAAGGAAGGAAGGAAAGAATCAGATTATGTAAATCCAATATGAAAGTATCCATGAGAACTGTGGGACAAAAAATATTAAACAAAAGTTTAATATTTAAACTTAGAAACATCTCATGATCATGCTTACCAGTTACAACTCCTGATACAGTCTGGCTTTTATCAGAGTCAGTTATTTATACATCTACCTTTACAGCTTGACAGTGGGCTCTTTGAAGGGAAGGTTCATGTCTTTTCTTATCAATCAAAGCTTCTGGCACATTGTAAACTCTCAATAAATATTGGTTGAATTACTCTAAAATTTATCACCATCTCGAATAGAAGGTTTAGAGTTTTATTATTTGTTTTGAGGGTTTAGTTTTGAAGTTTAATTAATCTTCGTGACACAATATTATAATTTCCTGTAAAGCTTCTCTTTTGCTCTGCAGTTCATTCTCATGGATTTGCCTGCTATCTGCACTCTGTTTTGTATTCGGGGGACTCTCTCAAGGAATAAATCCAAAATTTCTCCTCATATCTGTTCAAAATTTGCCTATCTACACCTTACAATATTGCATATTTCTGCTTCTCCTATTAATATCTTGTTTCATGAAAATATGAATTAAAGTTTCAAGATCAGTACGTTAGGGGATAATTATTTTAACAGAAAGATTCTAAACTTCACAAAACAATTTTTCAAAGAAGTACTTTAATTAGTATATTCTATGTGCCTTTAAAACACAGATTTATTTGCAAAATTTTAATTAACCCGACTTTTAAAGAACATAACTCTTGTCTAAATCTAAGTATTCATGCAACGTCAACATCCCATTTTAGCTAATGGTGATGTAGTACAATTAGTAGACCTCCCCCAAATTCGTATGTTGAAGACCTAACCTCCAGTTCCTCAGAATGTGATCTTATTAGGACATAGAGTTGTTGCAGATATAATTAAGATAAGGTCTTTAGAGTGAGTCCCTAATCCAATATGATTGGTATCCTTATAGTAATAAAACAGGAAAACTTGGACAAAGACACCAATACGGGGAGAATGCCATGTGACCATGGCGATGGCCATCTACCAGCCAATGAAAGAGGCCTGGAACATACCCTTCCCTCAGAGCCCTCAGGAGGAACCACCCTGCCAACACCTTGGTCTCAGACATCCGGCCTCCAGAACTGAGACAATAAGTATCTGTTGTTTAAACCACCCAGTTTGTGGTACTTTGTTATGGCAGTCAGAGCAAAGTAATCGAAAAAAATTAATAAAGTGCCAGATATATTAGATCTGAGCTCTGAGAATAAAATGCTTCCGGTATCATTTGCATCAGAATCACCTGGAAAACTTGCTAAAAATGCACCAGAACCTTTAGGGCTGGAGCCTGGGAATTTGAATTTTAAGATGCACTGATGTCTGTAATCTCAGCACTTTGAGAGGCAGAGGCATTGCTTGTGGCCAGGAGTTTGAGACCAGACTGGGCAAACAAGGGAGACTCTGTCTTTACAAAAAAAAAATTTTTTTCTTTAAAAAGCACTCCAGATTATTTATTCCTTCTGCAAATATTTATTGAGGATCTACTTTGTTCTTGGCAGGTTCTACATGATAGGAACAAAGTGCAGAACAAGACAGATAATATTTTCTGTCTATATCTAGTGTAGATTCTTGTGTACTAACTAAACTTAGAGCTGAAGAAGGGGGACAGACATGAAAAAAAATACTTCCAAGTTGCTATAAGTGTTGTGATAGAAATCATGTTGGTGCTATAGAGGTGGACGTTTAGCCCATTTGGAGGTGGGAGTGGAAAGTGGGGTTCAAAGGGAGGGATGAGGAAAAATTTCCTGTTTGTGATGATGCCTTGAGGTGACTCTTGAAAAACACATAGTAATTAACAAGGGAATTAACATAAGCAAGCGTGATTGGGAATTGCATAGCATTGGGATTTTATTTCTATACACATAAAGCCATTGATCCTCGATCACTCTTATCTTTGGAAGTTTATCAGATTTAGGGCGAGATCTGATATTCACCCAACACACCATTGTGTGGTCATACTGACTGTCAGATACTGAAGTGTTCACATACAAGTTAGTAAATAGCTTCTGCCCTTAACCCTTCTAATGCCATCTTCAGTCTATCCCCTGATATTTATTGGTTGAACCCTGAGCCATATTTGTTATTAATATTTTCAATATATAGTATCATTATACTGTTATAAATGTGCATGCTAAATAAACTATTTGGCACAAACAGTCCTTTCTTGTGTTATACATCATAACATAGAATTCTTCTCTTGCTAGGTTGGTACTTATTGAAGTAAACGTTTGAACTTTCACAATATTCCTTTTGTTCTTGGTTTTCTGTATTGTAGCATCAACACATTCCCTTTTTGTTTCCACCAGACATTTTCTATACTTTAAATCATACTCTCATTCAGAGAAAATGAGTTAAAGCACGTAAGGATGATAGATTTGTAAGTTCTACCCCATTTACAAGTCCATGTGTTCAGCCACTGGGAAGTTTTTACATGTTTATAATTATTTATAAAAGGATGCTCATATCCTAAACTGTGAGAGAAATTGCACTTTTGAATTACTGCCAAAACCAGAAGAGAGTGGTTGATTTAGTTATAATCTTTAGATTGATTTTTGGCCAGAAGATAGTTGAATATTTGAACTTAATGTCACTTGGTGTATAGTCATCATGTTAGTGGCCAAACATGTTCTCTATGGACACAGAGAAGAATAATCATAGTTGATTGATACTTCACATAAAAATCCAAGAGCAAGATAAGTTAATGTAAGTTATCTGGTGTTAATAATTTAAATATAGTACTAAACAAGATGAAAATTTTACAATCAATCATGACTTGCTTGGTTTCAGAGTGCTAATGGGTATGAGTCCATCTAGTCCTTTTGGGACAACTAGTTAGGATATAAACTTTGTTTTCCAGGAATTATGTTCATTTTCCCAGGACCTCACCAGCCCTGCCCCATTTGTTTGTGGTTGATGAAATCATAGCATCTGGACTTTTTAGGGGGAAACTTTAAAAAAAGCCAACTATGACATCAACTGAGAAAAAATTATCATGGAACAGGAGGACAATAAGGGCCATTTTTTATATTTTATGCTATTCCCTTACTCTCATCCCACTTTAAAACTCCACATTTTCCTTCTCAGAGAGCCAAAGCTGAATGATAAGACCTCTTTAGATCAGAGTCAGAGAATATTCAGCCTTAGAGATCGTCTGTCCAAACTGCCTCATTTTGCAGATGAGGGTGTTGAGGCCCTGTGCTGTCAAAGGGCTGCCGGAGCCATGCGGCCGGTTACTGGTAGGCCTGGGCCTGCGACCACGCTCCCCTGCGCTTCAGGGCCACGGTCTCTCCACTGAGCTGAGCCTTCTCTGTTTAACGTTACTAATCCAGAGAGCTTTTTTCAGATTTTTTTTCTAAATTAATAAAGAAGTTACTTCTTATAGTTATAAATCAGGGTCATGTGAATTTTATTTCACTCTCATTTTCTTCTGAAGCCTATCAAGATAGACCTAAAGAAGGTTATTTCTACAAATAGTGTGTTCTAATTTTAGGGTAAGACAAATACTAACAATAAATAACAATGACCAGAGCTAACGTTTACTGTGCACTCACCATGTGCCAGTATCGGAGTTAAACAGTTTTCTGGTCACACAGCATGAATCCCCAAAGTAACTCAATGAAGTGGGTGCTACTATCATCCTCCACTCACCAGCAGAACCTGGGGACGTTACCTGCCCAAGATCACAGAGCCAGGAAGCAGCTAAGTCGGAACTCTGATACCGCAGAACCCATGCTCCTACCTCTGGAATGTGCACGCACATCTCATGGTTCATTAGAATGAGCACTTGTCACAGTCTTGGCATTGATTTTAATAACAACGATGACGGCAACAATAATAGTAATATGTTTCATTTTCTGTGAACCTACAGCAAGGAGGCACAAGGCCAAACGCATTGCATTCATCAGTGCTGATGCTCAGAACTCTTTAACACGGTGCAATCGCCCCCATTTTACAAGTCAGGAGCTGAAACCAAGAAAGTCTTAGTAACATTAATAGTCACTTACCTAGAAAGCAGTTAGGCTTGTTTTTAAATTAAATTCTATCCAACAGTTGAGCCCAGGATGTTTGTTTCATATTTTCAGGCCCTGCATTGGTCTTTCTGAGGCTTTTGTAGACACGCTCCTCATCAACATCAAAAGTCAAGTTGTTGATTATGAAACAAAAATACACGTGTGTAGCCCGCTTGCACACGGTAACGACATGTAGCACCATAATACTGGAAAGAGTATGGACGTTAGTCACTTCCCGGGTTCAATTCCTAGTGCAGCTTGGCTGCACACGAGCTCTTTCCTTGAGGTGACTTTATCACATCTCGTCTGATCTATTATTTGTGGATTTTTTTTAAACATTCGAATGGCATTCTAGATAACATTCAGATGAATTTTTCTTTCTATTTCTCAGCTTTGGGGAGATGACTCGTGGATATCCCATCATTTTGCTGTAAATTAATAAAGGCCTAACACAAAGAAAAAGGGATCGTTGGGGGAAATGTTTCAGTTGTCACCACTGGCAGCCTGTCACCCTCTGCTAAATATTGGAGTATAAATCAGAAAAAGATATTTAAAGAGACAGCAGGGAGGCCCAGGAAAGAAGAGGCCACTTCTCTGGGACTTGCCTTACACAGACTCCTTCCATGGAAGCCATCAGTGCCTCCAAAGGGAGGGAGAAAGGAAAAGAGAGAAGGCAGACGCTCTGCTCTCCACTTTGCATCATCCAGGAAGGAAAAGAAATCCAGGGTGTGCCTGATACCCAGGCCCCAGCAGCTTCTTGTTTCTCCCTAACAGCTGCTCGTCCTGTTGAACATTCAGACTTACTGCAGCTGCTCCCAATCTGTGAGCAGACAGATGGCGCCACCAGCGTCCCAGGCACCTTCTGGAAGAAGGTTGTGCACAGCCAGCCTGTGCTAGGGTGACCACCAATCAAAGACCCCAGAGCAGGTCTGCAGTGCCTCCCAGGGGTCACGGGCCACCCTGAGGGTGACTCAATCTTGGCTGCTGAGTTTTCTTGGGAGACAGAAGTTATTTATTCTGGAAAAAAACAATCTGGCTCTGAGCTTTTCCCTAGCCCATCTCCTCTCTGCCTTCGGCTCCTGAATTGGACACTGATTTAGGGATGGCAGCTCTAAGAGGAGAAGCTAAATGCCAGACACTGTTTGAGAAGACCAGAAACACCTATGAATCGAGTTCACTTGTATTTTTAAAAAGGGGACGATTACAATATTGTTCTAATCCTAAAACTTGAAAACTCTGTTTTCAAAATGTGTGTCATTTAAAATAGCCTTCTCGGCTCAGCCTAGGTCTACCAGGGAGGACAATATTGGGACATTTGGAGACAGTCAGAGCAGCTTTTGAGAAATAGTTGTTTCTGCACTTACTGAATTTACCGGATTGCATCCATCTCTAGCTTAAGCTAAATGTTTATTTAATAACAGCTTTAAATAATTTTTTAAAAAACTATCTAAAAATTATACTGATGTCATGGATATAAGTTTCCCACTACTTGATTTCTACCAGAAACCTTGTTTGAAATGCAGGCTTTAATTGTTTGGGAGAGGTTTATGGGTTTTCTTAGATTCTGTATTGTTTCTTAATTGCAATCATCTTCTGTTCTCCTCTACTTTTGTATGGCATGCCCTTGATTTTTCAGGAGTTGGACAATGAGGATTATTTTTAATGTTCTTGTCACCCTAATTTTTCCTAATTTCTTGTGATTACACTTTTTTTTCATTCTCAGAAACATGCAGAATTACTGAAAAACAAAATGTGTGTCTGTCATTTAGAACAATCTTGTGTCTTTACCAGTTAAAGGGAAATAAAAAACAACCCTTCATTAAAGCAAAGTATGCTATCTTTCTGAATGTTACAGAGCTTACATCAGCATGGTCTGAGACTGCACCGAAAAAGAAGTAGCATTTATTACAGGTTCTTTTTGAATGGAAAATGTCTGTTCTCTATTCTTCCTATAGCTTACCTGTGCAGCTTCTAGTAGACACGGCTTCTCTGAGCTCAGTTGCTCAGTAAGGCTCCAGAGTGATACCAGTAAAGTCCAGCAGTTAAATTCGAGTGGACTCAAGACCAGAGACTCAAGAAATTGAATAGAATGGGGCAGCCCAATGAGCACTCTCAAGAGCTGCTAGTAATAGCCCGTGTGGGGCTAGCTCCCGCACCCCCCCCACGTGCGCACACGCGCTCCTCCTCCTCCTGGCCGCAGCCTCACCCAGGACCTCTGCCCTTAGCCGGCTCCTCTCCAGACTGGCTGAACAGGCCTACAACTTAGCGACCTATAAGGAATGAACAAACAGGGACAGAACCCTAGGGAAAGGTGGCTATGTTCTTTATGTTCAACCTGAGGTCCATGTGGCCTGGCCATGGCTGGAATGGAACAGCCATTTAAGCTGCAGATGAAGAGACAAGCAAAGCATCTCAAATTCCTACCCTTTCCCTATAAATAATGCACAGCTCTCCCTTGAATGTTTACTATGTTGTACGCCTTATAAAGCCCCCTTCACACATGATACTACTTTGGCACTAGTGCATCGTCTTATCCTGGGTTATTTGTCTCTTCTAGACCGTAAGCTTTCTGAAGGCAGGTTTATGTCTCTTTGCCAATCAGTAAGCACTCTACGGTTCTCAATAGAGTGTTCAATGATAGTCAGTGAATGAACACCCGTTTGTGAGTGAGCTGCAAGAGATCGTCCCTTTGAAATTGGATGGATGCATGTCAGTATTTGAGTTCAGTGATTCTCAAGCCTGACTATTTTGGAGAAATATACAGAAAGTTATGAAAACGCAGATATGCAGGCTCCCTCTTGAGATGCTGTTTGGGAGGTCTGGGGTGGTCTGGGCCCAAACAAGCAGGCCAGGTGATTCTGATGCAGGCAGCCCAGGGACCAACTACATTTTACAAACTTATTCAGGTTTTCACTTCTTAGGAGTTTGAGGCTTCATTAACCTCTGAAGTTTAGTATCTCAACTTTCCTATTGAACCCAGTTGTAAAATGACTGATTGAATTCCTGTAAAAGGAAACTGTAAGAATGACTCTCGGGAAAAATCAAGTAATTTTTACTAACTATTCTTATGTGACCAACACGTTGTGGTTTAAACTACTTTCTAAACCAGATCTACATGATTCTTTACTGCTAGGATGCTGTCCTCCCGATGGGAATAATGGCGTTAGTGTAACTCCGTGTCTGTTACCTGGATCATCTGGACTGGGTACGTGGCCTCCTGCCCACAGAAAGGCACGTCTGCTCTCTGGACCAGCAGCGCCAGGTGGAGACCCTCTTGCCCAAAGTGATGCTCCAGAGCATCCCTAACCTTCTGTTCCACGTCCTTCTTGCTCAGCCTGCTGTGTGGACAACCTGGAGTGTCCAACACCCGCACCTGCAGGGCGACCTCCTGACCCCTTCGGCGCAGGAAGCTCTGGAGGTGACAGCTGCGGCCCAGGCTGCAATCTTGGGTAACAGAACATGGGGCAAAGCTGCTGTGAAAGTCAGCGCTTCCCAGCAGGGTGTTCCCGGCAGAGCTTTTCCCACTCTGAGTCGTGCCAAAGAGGGCCAGGTTGACTACCATCTTGGTGGGGTCCGCCATGGCTGTGGGTAAACAAAGGCACAGCATAAGCAGGCAGGCTCCGGCTTCCGCGTTCCCTCACCTGGTCTGGAGCACCCGAGCATTGTCTTAGGTTTGCTTCCCTCCGCCACGGTGGCTAGAGCATGGAGGCGCTCCACTAAAGAGCAGACAGAGGAAGTGCTGAAATATTAATAACAGGAGAGGTTTACAGTGGACAGGAGAGAGAAGTCACACTCAGATAAGAAAAGGAGGAAGAAGCAATAATTGCAGGAAAAAGAAAAAAAAAACCTTGAATTGCATGAAGATAATATAAACCACGGTTAGGAGGAATATGTTAATGCATCAGCAGGGTAGGTGAGTTGGTTTAGGATTGGGCATTGCAGTGCCTGCGCTCAGCGACAAAGCTGACAGCGCTGTCTGAAAATTGTTCACTGTTGGAGAAGCAGGAACAGGACAGTGGAAGAAACAGCCCTTCTTGACTTTCTCGCGACATCTCCAGCCCTGAATATGCAACTGGCATCTGCAAAACATCATCTTTCCGGACTTCCTGGATACTTTTTTCCTACGAAATATGAATAATGCTATAGAAGACTTCTGTTTCTGTTTACCAAATATTTTTTATAATCAGGTAACATTCTGATGAAAATGAAAACTACTTATAATTGCTGTTATGAAATAATCAATCATTTCCATAGTCTGTCGTTGTAAAGTTTTGGCTTTTTAACAGACAGAGTGAAGCCCGATACATTGTGCAGCTCAGGTAGGAGGGGGGGACCCCAAGAGAGTCTTTATAAACTGTCATTTATAAACCTGGGAAGTGCGGTGGATCCTTTTTACAAAGCAGAGCCCCTCCTAGCATTTGAGATTATCAAACATTTCACTAGACTGATAAGTTCTGTCAATTGCCGAATGTGCTCAACCTGTCGATTCAGAAATGAAGACATCTCAGTATTGCAGATTGGTTACTTTTGCTTGTTACTTGTCATTCTGTTGCACAGTTTTAAGCACCGCAGGCCTTTCTTGTCCTCTAATGTCCCTCTCCCCTACGATCCCCAGGCCCAGATGTGAAGCCCTGGAAGGAGCCTCACCCCTCCAAAAAAGAGACACTCGTTTTTGGGTTCCCTGTGTTTCACCAACTCACCCCTCTCGTTCCGTTGTGCCAACTGCCTGGAGACGCAGGCAACTCCTTTTCAGTCCTGAATCACAAGTATCATATTTTTTAAAAGTTGGTTATGCAATCCCAGTCAGTTTGCTGTGTGTCACTTACCTTTGCCAGTCTTGAAAATGCTTTCTCCACAAAGACGTGCCTTCAGTTGGTACAGTTGTTCCTTGGTTCGAACTTTGACCTTCTGATGGCGTCGCTGTACCACTCCGGGACTGACACCGTATGTATTTTATTTAGTTAATCTATTACCAGACATCCTATTTATAAATGATTAGTCATCTTCCTGTAATCAGCACTAACTCTTGTATAGCAATCGACAGACTTGTAATGTTACCTGGGCCGGATGAGCAGACCAGACTTGTAATTTTAATAGATACTTCTGAAACTGCTATTTTAAGGATTAAATTTCATTATTTAATAGGTAAAATTTTATATATAGCATAAAGAAATACCAGATTGGTAAGTATTAAACAGAAACTAGACATTTTATAGCAATGGTTATTTTTTTTTCATTTTACTTGGTGAAAACCATATAACTACTACATGAAAAATTTCAATAAAAAGATATGTAATGTATGCACAATAATTACATATGGACTTCACAACAATATTAAGGTTCATCAATGCTGTTCCGAATTTTCTAAGAAAACTATTTGGACTATTTCCATATAATTAAAATGTATTATATTAAATGATGAAATAATAGCATGATTATATCAGCACATATAGTTTTCATATTAATTTGTGAGAGTATATTTAAGGAAAGGAGTAAAATTAACTCTGACTTGAAGTCAAATACATTTTTTCTTAAAAACTTAGGATTTATTTTCTTGCTAAAATCTCAAATTTTATTTTTTCCATATCTTAGTATTTAACCACACTTTCCAAAATACGGTTTTAATGTGTTAAGATGTAGAAACATTAGTGTGGTTATATCTGTTTTATCTTCTCTTGTATCTCTCAAAAAGTCTATGAAGTATGTATTTCTGGGTGAAGAGAACTTGGAGACAGCTGGCCGCATGAGCAGAGAGTGAAAAAGTCTTCCTCTTGTGTGGCTATGACAAGAACAGCAGGAACTGTCCTCACGCATCTGACAAGCACCTTGGCTTTCCGGAATGAAGCACAAAGAACCTCCCCCAGATGGCAGTAGCAGCCTGCTTCCTAAGAAGTGATTTTGAACTAGAATTTATTTTAATTTTCTTCTTCAAACTACAAACTGACATTCTCCAACCATCTGCATTAACACACATTAATTGTGTGAAGGATTTTTTTGAAGAAGGGCAAAGCTAAACTTTCCTTTCTACGTTCCTTATAGAACATAGCAAGTGTAAGTTAATTTTTCAAATACTCCACTTCAAAATCAAAGTTTAAATCATCTGTAGAATATAACAGTTGAGTTCATAAGCATAATTATAAGTTTCCATGAGAATGCAGAATTTCTAGATAAATTTTCGTATGTTTAGTGGTTTCAGATTTGAGTCAACTTAGAGGTCTTATAGAGGGGTAATTTATTCACAGTAGATGATGTTGAAAAGTTGATTGTAAATTCTTTTCTGAAATGAAAAAACAATTTAAAAAATTACCTTTTCACTGACTTGGCTAAATATAATGTAGTAGGCATGAAAATGTATTATTACTTGTAAGAAATGTTTAAGGACACTCAGACAGCTGGCTCCAGAATTCCTCTTAGGAAGAAAACTGACTTTGAGAGAAGAGTTTGATTAGCTGCTTGAGCTATAAAAGGAGAATATGAGCTAAACCCACAGCAAAGTACTGTATTAGCCAGCCTGCTGGTTATGGGGCAGAACCAAGAAAAGAGTAGGGAAGGTCAGGGTATTGAAGGAGCAAGGGAGAGAAGGAGATAGAGAGAGGGACGCGGGGAGGAAGAAGAGAATAAGAATGCTCACACTATAGTGGGGCAGGAAACTAGATCTCAGTGCTGGAAATTCTATTTCAGCAGAAATAGCTAATGTTCAGTTTCAAGTTCTTTGCATTTCTGAGATGCAGAGTCAGCCACACCACAACTGTCTCATGTGAAGGTGGCTTTTTATTTTTGCTTTGTTTCTGGTGGTTGTTTTGCATTTCATTTTTTAAATTTTATCTTGATGGAAATTAATGAAAAGGTCTGAGGCCTACCCCTAAGTTAGTATAGGACAGGGGCCACACAAGTTGGAGATTATAGGATGACATCTGAGTCAAAGTAATTCAGAAGAGGCATGAGGTTGAAGCTAGAAGGATACTAATCCCTACAAACTTGCAGGAATCTTTGGGAGGACTTTTATACTTTCCATAATCCGTGAAATGAGATATTTTGGAGTACAGATGACTCTAGCTTACAAGTAACTATTATATTTCACATTTTATATATACTTATATATATACACACAGAGAGAGATGTGTATACATACATATATTAACATATATTTCTTTGTGTGTTTGTGTGCATATATGTGTATATATAATTTATAGTTTGTGTTCATATTCAGTAAAATTGTGTCTGTATACTCACAAGTTTTATTATAAGTAGATCTTGACTTACAGCAATTGTTTTGACTTACAGCAATTTCATTAGAAGAGACTGTCACAGTTTTAGAAAATTCCAATTTCCATTGGCTTGAATTATGAACATTTTGCTCCAATGACATTTCTTTTCATAATAAAGAGGATTTTTAGCATATTGACCAGATTTTGCATTTGTGATGACTAAATGGCTTTAACCTTGGCTAACACAGCACCCAGTTGAGAGAACACTGACAAGCTGGTTCAGGTTAGATTAACTTGATTAACTCAGCTGAGCTGGTTGTAGAACAAGGCATGAGCTCGCACCATTAGAAATTTTGGGACACTGGTTAGCAGTTTAAATTTGGTGAACAGATGGTCTTAATTTGAATGCAGTTTGAAGGTTCCTGGAAAATTGAAGAATATCCATGTCTGCAAAGAAATATTTATGGGAACAGAAGTCTTTCGTACAAACTTGGTTGGTTTCATACATTAAAGACTCTACCAGTCACACCCCCATGCAGGACACTTGGGATGTTTTTGTTTGGTTTTGTTGTTGTTTGATTGCTTGCTTGGTTTTATTTTGAGTATTTATGCACATATATTTTCCAGATTATAAGTGCAATGTGTGTTTTTCAAAGCATTTAAAAAGAACGGAACAGAGAGTAAAATAGAATCACTTTTAAATCTGTATTTTCTAGGGACCATGGGAGAGTAGCTCCTTTTGGAGACTGACGTAGTAGGTAGATTTCATTTTCAAACTACCCACGTATACCTTATTTATTCCTTTTCTTTAGCAATCGCTACTGAAAACATTACGCAATCACAAGGATAGGTTTTAATAATGGGAATATGTTTAGCAAAACTTCCATGAAGATAGTTACACTGAGCAACTTCCTAGAAGTGATTCTCAAACAACTTTAAAAATTTCTGCCATAGTAATTTGACTCTTCTGGTGTCAATTTTGGTAATTTACAGTATAATAAACACATATCTATTTTGCCCATATTTTCAATTTTTAAAAATATAACCAACCACCTTCATTTCTGGCACTAGACCTGTTTTTTTAAAATTCTTAGGTGGCTAATATAGTAGGTTTGGTTTTATATACTTAATTACAAATGTTTTCTCTGTATGTGTATGTGTGCACAATTAACTTTTGCAACTTTATAGCTTGAAATGGATTTCCATGAACATGAGCTAAATTCATAATCTAGTGTTTTGAGGATATCAAGATTTAACTTATAATAACTAAACTTTTGGCCACCAACTCTGAGACAATTAGGTTGGAAACTGAGAATCAGGTATATGCAAATTATCATTTATAATTATAATATAGTGAGTCATTATATAAATATATGTCATTATTGAAGAATGACTATAACCTTAAAAGAGAGAAAAATCAGTAGATTTCTAATACTATACTTACTGACGGAAAATAGGATATTGTGAAACATATCTCTGTAAAATAAATGTGTTTAATTCAAATTCTCAAACTTTGTGATCTTACCAGCCATGGTGGATCCTGCCTATAATCCCAGCATTCTGGGAGGCTGAGGCAGGAGGATCACTTAAGGCCAGGAGTTCGAAACCAGCTTGGACAACAAAGTGAGACCCATCTTTACAAAAAGATAAAAAAATTAGGCAGACATGGTGGCATGAACCTGTAGCCCTAGCTACTTGGGAGGCTGAGACAGGAGGATCTCCTGAGCCCAAGAGTTTGAAGTTATAGTAAGCTATGATTGCATCACTGCACTCTAGCCTGGACAACAGAGCAAGACCCTAACTCTAAAAAAAAAAAAAAAATTGAGATCTCAAAGCTTCTAAATCTTATTTTTGAAACACTTTTGCTAAATTCCATTACCCTGATTTAGATCATCTTTGATAAAAGACCTTTCTTATTCACTCTAAAGAAATAAGATAGGCCGGGCGCGGTGGCTCACACCTATGATCCTAGCACTCTGGGAGGCCAAGGCTGGAGGATCACTCAAGGTCAGGAGTTCAAAACCAGCCTGAGCAAGAGCAAGACCCCGTCTCTACTAAAATAGAAAGAAATTAATTGGCTAACTAAAAATATATAGAAAAAATTAGCTGGGTATGGTGGTGCATGCCTGTAGTCCCAGCTACTCAGGAGGCTGAGGCAGAAGGATCGCTGGAGCCCAGGAGTTGGAGGTTGCTGTGAGCTAGGCTGACGCCACGGGACTCTAGCCCTGGCAACAGAGTGAGACTCTGTCTCAAAAAAAAAAAAAAAAGAAAAAGAAAAAGAAAAAGGAAAGAAAGAAGATAACATAATATAGAACATCATTAAAATATATTCATAAAAATAATTTCAAATGTCAAAGGTTTTAGAAATTTTACTCTTCTAACCTAGAAAACAGCATATATTCAACCCATATGGATACATCTATTTGACTGGCCAAATGCACCAAGGCAGACTATAGACATAGTAGCTAGAAATAAAGTAATGACAACAAATATCAGATGTCACACTTGATTCCTTCCAAACTTGATGCCCCCAAAGTCTTTTGTTTTGTGATAAATACTTCTTTTTTACAAAGGAATTAATAATCTCAAGTCAAGAAGAGTAAACCCTTACAAAAATAACTGAAATTTGCCTAAGAAATTTGTAACCTTCCTAAAATACTTAGTCTTTCTTTCCCAAAGAAAAATAAGCTTTTTCTCTTCCTAGCAAA